GTAACAATGGTACTTGGAGATTTCAACGCGAAAATAAGAAGTGAAAAAGTGTACGGAATAACGGGTGGCTATGGCCTAGGAGAAAAGAATGTGAGAGGTGACAGATTAATAGCATGGGCTGAGTCACAGCACGATAATAGGTAACACCTGGTTTAAACACCATCCTCGAAGACTTCGAAAAGTCCTGGTGATAATGTCCGCAATCAGATTGATTATATTTTGATTTCAAGAAGATTCCAGAGCAGCTTAGTTGGAGCAAAAACTCGACCAGGAGCAGACTGCTTTAGTGACCATGTTCCAGTTGTAGGAAAAATTTGAATAAAACTAAAGAATATTAGAAAAACACCACAGAACATCAAGTTAAATTTAGGAATTCTTAGAACGGATAAAGAAATTAAGGACCAGTACAATGTCACTACAAAACCGGTATAATGCAATGGAAATTATACAGACTATTGATGAACAGTGGATATGTTGCGTGAGTCAATTCAGCAGTCATCTAAAGAGACAATCCCACCAACCCATAGAGTTGCAAAAAAAAAGAAATGGATGTCAACCAAAATTCTGCAGTTGATGGATGAAAGAAGGAAGAAAAAGATTGGTAAAGAAGAATACTCAAGAATACAAAAAGAAATAGTGAACAAATGCAAAGTGGCTAAAGAAGCCTGGCTGAATCAAATGTGTACAGAGATTGGGAAAACAACAGGAAAGACTCACATTCCATGTACCAACAGATAAATATGTTAACAGGAAAGATGACATGTAACATCACTGGATGTTTGAAATCAAAAGATGGTGACTTATTAATGGGACATAGTAATATAATTAACAGATGGACAGAGTATATAGGGGAATTGTATGATGATAATAGACCAGATGTAGAACTGCAGACCAAAAATGATGGTCCACCAATAATGACTGCAGAAGTTGAGGATGCAATACATCATATGAAGAAAGGAAAAGCACCCGGCCAGACAACATCTCACTGGAAGAAATCGAAGCACTGGGAGATTTTGGAATTGAAATAATAACTAAAACTAAACTTTTAAATGATATTTATAATAGTGGGTATATTCCACCTTTTAAAATCCATATTTATAGCTCTGCCTAAGAAACCAGGCACTATAAAATGTGAAGACCATCGCACAAAAAGTCTTATGAGTCACATGACTAAGATTTTACTGAGAATAATTATGAGAAGAATAAGAAAAAAAATTAAACCAGCATTCAGCGATGAACAATGTGGATTTGTAGAAGGAAAAGGTAAAAACAATGACATTTACATCCTAAGGACATTGTCAGAAAGAGCTATAGAAGTAAAGACTGATTTTTGCATGTTCTTCATAGACTATACAAAAGCATTTGACTGTGTGAAGCATGAAGAAGTAATCAAACTGTCAGATGGAAGATGCATAACTGGGATAAGAAACAGAATAGGACAGGCAAAAACTGCATTTTATAAAATGAAAAACATCTTGGGCAATTTATCCTTGTCATTGAGAGTTAGAAAAAAGAATTCTTGCTCCAGTTTTAACATATGGCTGTGAATCCTAAACAATCGGTAGGCAGGCCAAACAATTTCTAGAGGCCTTAGAGATGTGGTTTTACAGAAGAATGCTTAGAATACCTTGGACAGCCAAAAAGAGCAACCAAGAGGTTTTGAAAGAGGCGGGAGCCCGAAGACAGCTTATCACAGACATCAGAAGGAGACAGTCGTAATTTTTCGACCATGTTATGAGAAGAGGGAAAATAGAACATGTTTTGACCACTGGAAAGATCTGTGGAAGGAGAGATAGAGGAAGACAACGAGAGAAGATGGTTGACAGTCTTGTTGCATGGCATGGAGGTGTGTCGGCACATGAACTGATACATGCTGCAGGAGATTGCAGATTATGGAGAGGCATGATCGCCCACGCCAGTCGGCAAGGCACCTGATGATGATGATAAAAACCACCTTCCTCTGGCAGAGAAGGTTTTAAAAACCTTACTTTGTTTACGGCTGTCGGCGTTAGCGCAGTCGATAAGAGGCTCGCTTTCAAATCCAGCTGCGACTCACTGCAGCCCACGGTCGGTGTTCGAAACCGGGCGGCTTCGGGGGTTCACCCAGCCTCTAGGTAATGGGTACCAGAGTTGACACATTGGGGTAAATGGAGGAACGTCACGGTAGCTACAGAGTTACCTGCGAACGGCGACACAGGCGGACAATTCTTATCAGCTGTCCGTACTGGTGGCAGAGCACTTATAGTTTATAACCGTGTGCAATGATGCTGGTTCACATCTCCCGACTTTACCTTTACCTTTTTGTTTCATTAAAACGCTTCCAAAATGATTAATGCCATTGTCATTGAAGACATTGTTGTCATGGGAAACAATTGCTTGATTGCCACTTGTTCAAAAATATTCTAATCCACACCAGTGCTGCAAGATTTTTTATTTATGTCCCTTGTTAAGGTTACTCCAGTTTTGTTGCTGTCTTTCTGAAGACATTTGCTCTTTTCCCCCATCCCTCACCGGTTTGTAACTCTTGTAGCTCTTCACTGGTCATCTCCTTATTATATTATGTCCCTCTACCAGCTCCTCAGCATCAGTTTCATCAACTTCCATGATCTTGCCCAGGGAAATAACTACATTTTGTCATATTCTATTCCAGATAAGCACAATGTAGCTAAAAGAAACATGCATTGTGCATCAAGGCTTGTATCTCAAATCTAGGTTCTTAATTAGAGGTCAAAATTGGATATGAACAAAGTTGTATCTTGAAAAGTTCGTAGGTAGAGCGATTCATAAGTTGAGTTACAGAAAAGTAAGTCTGGACTTTTAATATGTATTTGTTGTGAAGTGGTGATTTTGGTCACAAGTATGAGGAAAAGTCAATTCCAGTGTGACTTGTATAAGGAGATACTCCTCACCTCACCTTGGGCACCAGCTAGCTCTGTGCTGGTTTTACAAATCCTTGTGCAAGATTTCTGCCACACGTCACCGCCATATGCCATGGATAATGTGGCTCATCTGAGCATAAACTGAGTTGATAGATCTCGGAGTTGGTGGTTCCCGGAGATGCTATGCCCATAAATCCTCTGGCTCTCATCAACACACCCCCAATGTATGAGTGATAATGTCTATCTAAAACTCATTTGGAGCATGTGTAAAGCCCACTGACTGAATATATTACTATGTAACACACCTCAGTTCAAACATCTGTGCAATGTCCTACTGATTAGGCTCAAAGTCCATCAGTCAGATGTCCATTATCGGAAATCAGCTGAGTAGCCACCTCACTGTGGACTGCTAAGACTCAGCCCTAGACTGAGAGATTTGCTCACAGTTAAGACGAACTACATCTCCTGCTGACGGTATCTCACAGTTATGTCCTAAGGCATAACAACAAAGATTAGATGCCCAACCATGGAATGTCTTTCTGTGTCTGAGGAAAGGCTCAGAATTACAACCATCAGACATCCCTCTGTGTGACAGGTAGGGTGCATATACCTGCTACCTTTGGGCCCACACCTCATTGTGTTGGGACCAAACTGAGAACCTGATGCATGCTTATACTGTCATGCTAGGTGTCCCAGTGCAACAGTGTTGAAAAGGTGTCTAGTATGCCGAAGGACAGTGTGCCCATTTGTGTGGCCATCAAAGTCCTGGACCTGCTGGCTGTCCCTGTTGATCTGCAAAGTGTGCAGCCTGTGATGAGTGAAATTTCAGCACATGGATGATAGTTTAAGCACTCATATATGAGGATTTCTTTGCTGAACCCAGGATCATAGCATCATGTGCCAGCTCCGCCTTTATGGTATTTTCCTTGCACATGGTGTGGGGGGGGGGGGGGGTGCCCATGATCTGCCTCTGCCTTAAGGGCCAACTTGCCTACACGCTGGCACCCTGGATGGGTTCTACAGGGACAACACCTATAAAAAAAAGGGACAAAAAGGATACTGCAAATATCAGGCTATGTCATGTTCCACATGAAACCAACTGGGAAGGCCAACCCGGTGAACAAATGCTTGAGGAAGTTGGATGTGTCCGCTAAAAGATCAGAATGCTGCTTTGCAGTAAACAGGAACACAATTATGTTACTCAGACAGAAAAGAAGAAGAAATATATTTGTTATCAGTCACAGCTGGGTGTTGTCCTTGTCTTTTCCTCCTCTCACCAACTTTCTCCTCCGTTCCCCGTAAGGTTGGTGTAGTGAAATTGTTTACTGATGACCTGGTTCCAGAATAACATCTCTTCAAGGACCCTGTTGCAAAACCTATCCCTCCCCTGTGCAAATCCAAGGTATCCAAGACTTGACATCTGCAGAGGCATGCTAGGTTGTATGCAGGTCACTGATTACTTAGCAAAGTGGGCACACCCATAGATGCTCTGTCTCTCAAAGCCAATGTCTGAAGGTGTAGATGTTGGCTGTTCCAGTAGCACTATGGTTGTACACACGTTCTTCTCTTTCTCTTGTGTGTCCTTTCTTGCTGGATACGCACTTAATTCCACATTCACTCAAGCTTACACATGTTATTTTATCTAATATAATATCTTTCATCAGCGTTTGTTCATAAGTGATCTTCAGAATATCTGCCTTGTCTGATGAAAGTGTTCCTACTGCTTTTGCTTTTATACCATGTCAGAATTCAGCACAGCACTTGTGAACTTGCTGGGGTTAGATATAGATTGGTTGCAGTTCTCTCACAAGATTTAGACAATACATTGTCAACAGAATCCAGCCCACTATCCAGAGGGAAGAGTCAATTAGCATGTAGCAACATCACATAATTATTATTTTCCGTAACTGTCTGGGACAGTTGAAGCCAGTTTGTGTTTACCACCAGTTGGAGATTGATTTTGGAATAGATTTTGTATTTTGTTACAGTGAATTTTAAATAGCTTTTGCATTTCGTTACTCGATAGTTTGCTATTTCATTGTGCTGGTTGTGTATAATTCTTGTTTTGTGTTGTCTATCTTGTTTTATTGTGACTGAATACATATATATTTACTCTTATAGGTGCTTTTAATGACATTCGACCAGAGAACTGGTGTTTGTCTGATGACTACTTGCAGTACCTGAGGAGACCACAAGAAGAGTCTGTCTGGGCGCCTGAACCTGAATATTACATTAAGCTCATTGCTAGGCTTCGAAACAGTATCCTCAAACAGAAATGTGTATTGTTTTCAATTGCTTTTAATTATTTATTTAGGATGCCTCCCAGCTACAACATTAACTTCATAGTTTTGTATTTATCATATGTTTTAATTGCATGAAATAATTAATAGACTAAGACTTCTCACAGAAGTATCACAGTCACAGCCAGCAGTAGAATAATAAAAGAAATAGACACTGAAACAGACCTCTACAGAATGTATTGACACAAAGGAATGAGATCCCTACAGAATGTATTGACACAAAGGAATGAGATATCTGCAGAATGTATTGATACAGAGGAGTGAGATCCCTACAGATGTATTGACACAAAGGAATGAGATCTCTACAAACTTCTGAAACTGTCCTGTTTTTTCATTTCAGTTTACTCATCTTAATAACCACCTAGTGATCCTGCTGTGTATAACATCAGCCATTAGTAATTTAAATACAGTAGTCTGCAATATCCGGCGTAATGTGGCAAAAGGGCAGGCCAGATAATATTGTTAGAAAATGGAGATGCTGGAGTTCTTATAAATACTCTGCTTCTACCTCGCTCATCATGAAAAATACCCCTTTTTTATACCACAACCCACTGTTATTGATTTTTTTTTTTTTTACATCCAAGTACAGGCCAGTACTTTATAACAATTTCCTGTGTATTGTATTGTATTTTTTAAACATTTATATACGGAAAAAGGAAGTCCACAAATAAAAATATTGTTTGCGTTTTGATTTCTAACACAACTGTTTCAAAAACAAAGTGTTTCTTAAACTTTTTTTTTAGTCGTGGTGCCTTTTTTCAATAACATTTTTCCACAGTGCCTTAACCTAAGTCAAAGTATGACTATGTAAGAGATTTTAAAAACTTGTCTATCTTCAAATATTTCACAGCGCCCCTGCAAAGAGGCACACAGTTTCTGAATCACTGCTGAACACTATGCAGTATGAGAACATACACATTTAAAATGAACAAGGCATTAATGGGAAACGTAGACTACTTACAAACATTTTTTATTTTAAACTGTTTAAAAAACTTAATTGATAGTAATTGCATAAATGAGAAAAGGTCAGCCTGAGATAAACAAGTCAGAACTTACAGTTTTTAGGGCTCGATAGGTGACTGCTTAGCTTATTTTGCCCTCTTCCTTGACACAGTCTCTCTTCACTTACGCAAGCAGATTATATCAGCTAGCATGGCATCCTCATGTTCACTAATATACTGCAGCCCTGTCTTAGGGGACTTGAAACCTTCCGAATGTGGAATGCAGTTGTTCCTGTTATCTAAGGATGCCTCCTCATCCTCTTCTCTCACTTTAACCAATGTCACCATTTCCACAAAATCACTATCAGTTATTTTATCGAGTTTGTTGTTTGCCCTCCCTTCTGTAGTATCATCTGCATTGACATTATCACAGCCTGTACTTTTCTTCCAGCAGTGAAACAAGTTTGTCATTTTCATCTTCCAGTTCGGTTTCACACAAATGTTTGAGGTTGAAATGGCCACTGTCATGGTCCCAACAAATTTTCCAAGTCCTTACAAGTGGTTTGTTTAGAATCTCTTCCCACACTTCGGCCAACCACCTTATGATGTCTAGCATGTCAGTAGTTTTTAGGATGGTTACGTAGTCCTCATTGTTATCAGTCGCTGATATCAACCAACTCAGAAGACACCGATGATACTTTTTCTGTAGCATTTCAAGGACGCGTTGGTATAAAGGCTGACAAGCGGCAATCACAATGGTTGGTAAACATATTATTATTTTTTTCAAACTAGGCTGGATAATACAGAGTCTGGATAATTGCAGACTGGATAATCAAAGTTCTACTGTACATGCATTTCCTTAACTATAAAGCCATCCTGGGAGAACTGCCTCCCCCCTACCCATCAGCAGACTGGCGGTTTAATGAGTTCCCTAATGCTGCAGCCCACACCCTACACTCAATCTGTGTAGAACTGATGGCCCTGCCTGTGTCTGCTCAAACTGTGGGTGAAGCTCTGATTGATGTTTCACTCAAGCCGTAAGTAATGTCAGTTGAGTCTTTAGTATCTGTCCAGACATCATTTTTTTTTCTTGTCCACAAACAGCACAAATAATTTCTGTTTTGTGCTTTTAGCTTTACTGTAACAAACTGTTTTAATATTATTTGTGTCTTTAAACGTTCTCATAGTTTTCTGTCCGTAGTACAAGGGTAGCTCAGTGGAAAAGATTAGGGCCACGCCACAAAGACAACAGTGTTAGAGTGAAGCAAACCATCATTGTAGAGTGGCCACAGAAAAGAAAGTACTGTTTTAATAAAAAGTTCATTTATAAAGGAGTTTAATTAATTGTGTGAAATGTAACATGATCAACGGTTAAAATAAATGTTTGTAAAATACTTTCTCGACAGTCCTTTAGTGGGAGTATTATGTAGTATTTTTATAATTTGAATTATTTATTTTGCTAGTCAAATTTCACTGTAACTTATGAACCACATTATATCCAATTTAATATAGAAGACATAAGTTATTAAGCAAATAGGCTTGTCATTTATGTATATGAATATTTTAACAGTTAGGAATTTTTCTGTCACAGTGCATGTAGAAGTGTTCTACTTTAGACTAGGTATCTCCCATAGATAACATAGAGGTTAGTAGATTGTCATCTACTTTAGACTAGGTATCTCCCATAGATAACATAGAGGTTAGTAGATTGTCATCTACTTTAGACTAGGTATCTCCCATAGATAACATAGAGGTTAGTAGATTGTCATCTACTTTAGACTAGGTATCTCCCATAGATAACATAGAGGTTAGTAGATTGTCATCTACTTTAAACTAGGTATCTCCCATAGATAACATAGAGGTTAGTAGATTGTCATCTACTTTAAACTAGGTATCTCCCAAAGATAACATAGAGGTTAGTAGATTGTCATCTTCTTTAAACTAGGTATCTCCCAAAGATAACATAGAGGTTAGTAGATTGTCATCTTCTTTAAACTAGGTATCTCCCAAAGATAACATAGAGGTTAGTAGATTGTCATCTACTTTAAACTAGGTATCTCCCAAAGATAACATAGAGGTTAGTAGATTGTCATCTTCTTTAGACTAGGTATCTCCCATAGATAACATAGAGGTTAGTAGATTGTCATCTTCTTTAGACTAGGTATCTCCCATAGATAACATAGAGGTTAGTAGATTGTCATCTTCTTTAAACTAGGTATCTCCCATAGATAACATAGAGGTTAGTAGATTGTCATCTACTTTAAACTAGGTATCTCCCATAGATAACATAGAGGTTAGTAGATTGTCATCTTCTTTAAACTAGGTATCTCCCAAAGATAACATAGAGGTTAGTAGATTGTCATCTTCTTTAAACTAGGTATCTCCCAAAGATAACATAGAGGTTAGTAGATTGTCATCTTCTTTAAACTAGGTATCTCCCAAAGATAACATAGAGGTTAGGTTTGTCAGTAGATTGTCATAACATAGAGGTTAGTAGATTGTCATCTACTTTAGGTATCTCCCATAGATAACATAGAGGTTAGTAGATTGTCATCTACTTTAGACTAGGTATCTCCCATAGATAACATAGAGGTTAGTAGATTGTCATCTACTTTAGACTAGGTATCTCCCATAGTATCTCCCATAGATAACATAGAGGTTAGTAGATTGTCATCTACTTTAGACTAGGTATCTCCCATAGATAACATAGAGGTTAGTAGATTGTCATCTACTTTATCTCCCAAGATAACTAGGTTATAGATTGTCATCTACTTTAAACTAGGTATCTCCCAAAGATAACATAGAGGTTAGTAGATTGTCATCTTCTTTAAACTAGGTATCTCCCAAAGATAACATAGAGGTTAGTAGATTGTCATCTACTTTAGACTAGGTATCTCCCATAGATAACATAGAGGTTAGTAGATTGTCATCTACTTTAGACTAGGTATCTCCCATAGATAACATAGAGGTTAGTAGATTGTCATCTACTTTAGACTAGGTATCTCCCATAGATAACATAGAGGTTAGTAGATTGTCATCTACTTTAAACTAGGTATCTCCCAAAGATAACATAGAGGTTAGTAGATTGTCATCTACTTTAGACTAGGTATCTCCCAAAGATAACATAGAGGTTAGTAGATTGTCATCTACTTTAGACTAGGTATCTCCCATAGATAACATAGAGGTTAGTAGATTGTCATCTACTTTAAACTAGGTATCTCCCAAAGATAACATAGAGGTAGTAGATTGTCATCTACTTTAGACTAGGTATCTCCCAAAGATAACATAGAGGTTAGTAGATTGTCATCTACTTTAGACTAGGTATCTCCCATAGATAACATAGAGGTTAGTAGATTGTCATCTACTTTAAACTAGGTATCTCCCAAAGATAACATAGAGGTTAGTAGATTGTCATCTACTTTAGAACTAGGTATCTCCAAAGATAACATAGAGGTTAGTAGATTGTCATCTACTTTAGAACTAGGTATCTCCCAAGATAACATAGAGGTTAGTAGATTGTCATCTACTTTAGACTAGGTATCTCCCAAAGATAACATAGAGGTTAGTAGATTGTCATCTACTTTAAACTAGGTATCTCCCAAAGATAACATAGAGGTTAGTAGATTGTCATCTACTTTAGACTAGGTATCTCCCATAGATAACATAGAGGTTAGTAGATTGTCATCTACTTTAGACTAGGTATCTCCCAAAGATAATCATAGAGGTTAGTAGATTGTCATCTACTTTAGGTACTAGGTATCTCCCAAAGATAACATAGAGGTTAGTAGATTGTCATCTACTTTAGACTAGGTATCTCCCATAGATAACATAGAGGTTAGTAGATTGTCATCTACTTTAAACTAGGTATCTCCCAAGATAACATAGAGGTTAGTAGATTGTCATCTACTTTAGACTAGGTATCTCCCAAAGATAACATAGAGGTTAGTAGATTGTCATCTACTTTAGACTAGGTATCTCCCATAGATAACATAGAGGTTAGTAGATTGTCATCTACTTTAGACTAGGTATCTCCCATAGATAACATAGAGGTTAGTAGATTGTCATCTACTTTAGACTAGGTATCTCCCAAAGATAACATAGAGGTTAGTAGATTGTCATCTACTTTAAACTAGGTATCTCCCAAAGATAACATAGAGGTTAGTAGATTGTCATCTACTTTAGACTAGGTATCTCCCATAGATAACATAGAGGTTAGTAGATTGTCATCTACTTTAGACTAGGTATCTCCCAAAGATAACATAGAGGTTAGTAGATTGTCATCTACTTTAGACTAGGTATCTCCCATAGATAACATAGAGGTTAGTAGATTGTCATCTACTTTAAGACTAGGTATCTCCCATAGATAACATAGAGGTTAGTAGATTGTCATCTACTTTAGACTAAACATAGGTTATCTCCCATAGATAACATAGAGGTTAGTAGATTGTCATCTACTTTAGACTAGGTATCTCCCATAGATAACATAGAGGTTAGTAGATTGTCATCTACTTTAGACTAGGTATCTCCCATAGATAACATAGAGGTTAGTAGATTGTCATCTACTTTAGACTAGGTATCTCCCATAGATAACATAGAGGTTAGTAGATTGTCATCTACTTTAGACTAGGTATCTCCCATAGATAACATAGAGGTTAGTAGATTGTCATCTACTTTAGACTAGGTATCTCCCATAGATAACATAGAGGTTAGTAGATTGTCATCTACTTTAGACTAGGTATCTCCCATAGATAACATAGAGGTTAGTAGATTGTCATCTACTTTAGACTAGGTATCTCCCATAGATAACATAGAGGTTAGTAGATTGTCATCTACTTTAGACTAGGTATCTCCCATAGATAACATAGAGGTTAGTAGATTGTCATCTACTTTAGACTAGGTATCTCCCATAGATAACATAGAGGTTAGTAGATTGTCATCTACTTTAGACTAGGTATCTCCCATAGATAACATAGAGGTTAGTAGATTGTCATCTACTTTAGACTAGGTATCTCCCATAGATAACATAGAGGTTAGTAGATTGTCATCTACTTTAGACTAGGTATCTCCCATAGATAACATAGAGGTTAGTAGATTGTCATCTACTTTAGACTAGGTATCTCCCAAAGATAACATAGAGGTTAGTAGATTGTCATCTACTTTAGACTAGGTATCTCCCCCATAGATAACATAGAGGTTAGTAGATTGTCATCTACTTTAGACTAGGTATCTCCCATAGATAACATAGAGGTTAGTAGATTGTCATCTACTTTAGACTAGGTATCTCCCATAGATAACATAGAGGTTAGTAGATTGTCATCTACTTTAGACTAGGTATCTCCCAAAGATAACATAGAGGTTAGTAGATTGTCATCTACTTTAGACTAGGTATCTCCCATAGATAACATAGAGGTTAGTAGATTGTCATCTACTTTAGACTAGGTATCTCCCATAGATAACATAGAGGTTAGTAGATTGTCATCTACTTTAGACTAGGTATCTCCCATAGATAACATAGAGGTTAGTAGATTGTCATCTACTTTAGACTAGGTATCTCCCATAGATAACATAGAGGTTAGTAGATTGTCATCTACTTTAGACTAGGTATCTCCCATAGATAACATAGAGGTTAGTAGATTGTCATCTACTTTAGACTAGGTATCTCCCATAGATAACATAGAGGTTAGTAGATTGTCATCTACTTTAGACTAGGTATCTCCCATAGATAACATAGAGGTTAGTAGATTGTCATCTACTTTAGACTAGGTATCTCCCATAGATAACATAGAGGTTTAGTAGATTGTCATCTACTTTAGACTAGGTATCTCCCATAGATAACATAGAGGTTAGTAGATTGTCATCTACTTTAGACTAGGTATCTCCCAAAGATAACATAGAGGTTAGGTTAGTAGATTGTCATCTTCTTTAAACTAGGTATCTCCAAAAGATAACATAGAGGTTAGTAGATTGTCATCTACTTTAGACTAGGTATCTCCCAAAGATAACATAGAGGTTAGTAGATTGTCATCTACTTTAGACTAGGTATCTCCCATAGATAACATAGAGGTTAGTAGATTGTCATCTACTTTAGACTAGGTATCTCCCAAAGATAACATAGAGGTTAGTAGATTGTCATCTACTTTAGACTAGGTATCTCCCAAAGATAACATAGAGGTTAGTAGATTGTCATCTACTTTAGACTAGGTATCTCCCATAGATAACATAGAGGTTAGTAGATTGTCATCTACTTTAGACTAGGTATCTCCCATAGATAACATAGAGGTTAGTAGATTGTCATCTACTTTAGACTAGGTATCTCCCATAGATAACATAGAGGTTAGTAGATTGTCATCTACTTTAGACTAGGTATCTCCCATAGATAACATAGAGGTTAGTAGATTGTCATCTACTTTAGACTAGGTATCTCCCATAGATAACATAGAGGTTAGTAGATTGTCATCTACTTTAGACTAGGTATCTCCCAAAGATAACATAGAGGTTAGTAGATTGTCATCTACTTTAGACTAGGTATCTCCCATAGATAACATAGAGGTTAGTAGATTGTCATCTACTTTAGACTAGGTATCTCCCATAGATAACATAGAGGTTAGTAGATTGTCATCTGAACTTGAAGATATTGTTTTCCCAGGTCATCTTCGCTGCCCCCACAGAAGGACATGATGTCATGGTACAATGCTGTAGGGCTGATTCTCACAGCTCTGCCTGTAAGTTGTGCTGATTCTCCCATTTGTTTTTCATTGATTCCCACATTCAGGATTGTATTGGTATTTTTATTCAATCTGGGACAGCAAAATGATGTCACACAGGTAAGAAATGATATTTTATTGAGTCAAATACTGGCAACCCTAGACAAGTTTATTAGTCGATATAAGCCAGATGTCATCACCGACATGATGCTAGATATCAGACACTGAAGTAAAGATAATACTGCATTTTGCAGTACACAGCATGACAGTAACAAATTGTAAGCATTTGTATACTAAAATGTTCACAAACATTGAACACCTTTGGCTCCATAATTATCAACAGTCAGGGGGTGATGACATATCACAGTCACTGAAAAATGAAGCAATACAATTTAAATGTTACAGAAAAATTCTTAGAATATTGATCATGAAGAACAAAATGGTAACATTTCATCAGATTTGAACATCACAGTCAAACAGGATGATCACAACATGTTGTCCCGCAACCTCCACCATGTTAAACATCGCATTAATTAAAAGAAAATATTATTGGAAGGGATGGTTCTTGAAAGATGAGGCAAGGTCAACCAGTACACAACATAGTCTGGTCGTGATATAGCAAGACTGGGGTTGAACAACTGAAGAAGGTTAGGGAATCTATCAGGCAAGTTGTGACGAGAGCAGTGTTCTGTGATGCACTGCTACATGATGATAATGCGTCACCTGAAAGGTTTAAACCATATAAAATCAAGTCTAGGCCCAAATTTTATTGTTGTAAAAAGTTCAGTAGGGTTGCTGTTCTTGGTAACCACTTATAAAATTGTTTATTTTCATCCCCTAAGTAGTGTAATGGCTAGCATGCTTGCCTGTTGACCCTATAGCAGGGCTACTCAGCAGGTGGCCTGTTGGACAAAACCAGCCTGCAGAGGCCTAGCCTGCAGCCAGCAGATCATTGCCACTTGTATGATTGATCTATCTATGCAGGCCCTTAGATCATTGCCACTTGTATTGTAGGATTGATCTATCTATGCAGGCGCTTAGATCATTGCCACTTGTATTGTATTATTGATCTATCTATGCAGGCCCTTAGATCATTGCCACTTGTATTGTAGGATTGATCTATCTATGCAGGCCCTTAGATCATTGCCACTTGTATTGTAGGATTGATCTATCTATGCAGGCCCTCAGATCATTGCCACTTGTATTGTAGGATTGATCTATCTATGCAGGCCCTTAGATCATTGCAACTTGTATTGTAGGATTGATCTTTCTATGCAGGCCCTTAGATCATTGCCACTTGTATTGTAGGATTGATCTATCTATGCAGGCCCTTAGATCATTGCCACTTGTATTGTAGGATTGATCTATCTACGCAGGCCCTCAGATCATTGCCACTTGTATTGTAGGATTGATCTATCTATGCAGGCCCTCAGATCATTGCCACTTGTATTGTAGGATTGATCTATCTATGCAGGCCCTTAGATCATTGCCACTTGTATTGTAGGATTGATCTATCTATGCAGGCCCTCAGATCATTGCCACTTGTATTGTAGGATTGATCTTTCTATGCAGGTCCTTAGATCATTGCTACTTGTATTGTAGGATTGATCTATCTACGCAGGCCCTCAGGCTGCTGACAATCCCTATTTTCAACAATTTTGACCCTTGTGTAAACTTAGTTGAAAAGCCCTGCCTCAAAGTCATATGTTCTGTGGAGGTAAGATCTGTTCCCATTAACTTGGGCTCCTGTTTCACCCAGGCTAAATTATTCTGGGAAGTAAAGGTGGCTGGCATGATAATGACCACATCCCCCTTCAAGTGCTGATTGGTTTTAAAATATAGAGTTAGCATCATATACCCAGTATACCTCATGAAATCAAAAAAGTGATTCTTTACTTTCTTTTTTGTAGTCTTAAATTTGTTTATGTGATACCAGAATTCATTCTGCTTGTTTTTTTTACAAACACAATGTACTCCATAGGAATCCTACTGGACTGTACTTAATGACTGGATTCTAAAAGCCATCACATCACCAATGCTGGAAGCACCTGCTCCCCACCATAACCCTTTTAAAGCATTGAATGTCAGCCTGTCACATCTGCAGCATGCTGAGCACCAGTGTTCCACGGTGCTGGAGCTGTGTCATGGTGTCTGGCATCATGCAGGCATTGGACAGCTGTCACATTTGCCTCAGTGAGTTTTTGTCACACAAATTGTATGATTTTTGTGTTCCTTATCTCATCTATACAAGGGTATAGAGGAACTGCAGAGTGTTATCTCATTCATGTGTCAGACATACAGCCGATTGCCTTCATGTTCCCTTTTTTTTTAAACTTCACTGTGGCTCATGAGTAGTCCAGTGTCCTAATGCTTTGGTGCTGGTCTTTTGTTGCTATGGTCACAATATTCTGTAACTTTACAGTACTTTGCAAATTGCTGTGACCCCTTACAGCGCCTTGGTAAAGGAAAAATATTAAATAATCTGGGGCTTGATCAAGCACAGCCAAAACATTGGTAGGAAAACAAAGATATTCTTTTTCCATTCTCATTCACATCAAATCTTGTTTTTCACAATGATTGTTTTACACTGTGTCTGGAATTTTGTGTGCTTTGTAGTATGTGGTATTCTTCTGAATAAATTGAACATTATGGTCACATTATGTGTTGAATCAAAATTATTCAGCATACATTATGCATTATGCAATGTATTTTTAATAATCAGACTACCAAACTTCTTTTAGTTTAACAACCAGATCTGTATTGCATTGTCAGGTGTTTTCTTTTTGTGTGTGTGGCCTGTTTCTAGTAAAGACCTTGGTTTTTCTGAAACTGTTTAGAGTTGTTATACCAAAAAACTGTGTCATACCGGAGCTTTGAATTCCTGGCTTTTGGTTACCAGTGCTTTCGTAGGTAACTCATTCTAAAAGAGACTAGACCCATTTTAACTGCATAACAAAATTTTGGATGCACTATCTAGTTTTTGTCAGTGCCCTTTCTCTGCATAATATTATATGCAGGGATAATATTTTCGTTCAACACATAATTTATGTACTTTTGCTTTTTGGGCTCATAAATTCTCCAGAAATAGGTTATAATGTTCATACATTTCTGCTTGGAAGTTGACACATTTTTTTTAAGAGTGCTAACTTTTGGAAGCCTTAGAAATTAGAAGGTATTTTCTCATTTTCTCCAGTATTGACACAGTCATTTCCTGTGTGGGTTCAGGGGCTCCAGAACACTGAATAGACCCCTTGCCGGCCCCCCCCCCCCCACAACATGCATGTGGTAGGAGGCAACTAATCAGGGGTGTTCCCTTCAAAGTCAGAGTGTATCTGCCTGAGAAGCAAGGAACCAAGAGGTCTATACAAAGAAAGCAGGCCTGTAAAATGGATGTGCACACAACACTCAAGTTCTGGATGAAGACCAAAGTTCAGGAGTGGACAAACAACCAAAACTTTCCACAGGAGTTTACATAAAGTGACAAGCATATGAAAACATTTTGTGTGTCTTATTTTGAGAATTTTCATTTAATGATTACTTAGATGATATGATTTGTTGCTGAATGTTTCGGCTGTCTTATTTCTTTCTAGATTTGTGAAAGAAAAACTGAAACCAAAAATTAAACATGAAAACCAGTTCATTTTCCTGTGCCATCTGGTAGGTCCTTTCCTGCAGCGCTTTCACATGGAAAGGACACGGTGTCTTCTTGAGGTGATCATTTTCATTACTTATATCAGAATGTACAAATTGTAGAAATTTGTAGTGCCAGCCAAACATGGTACAAACTGTAGTGCCAGTGAAACAGGGAATGTTGATTCTTGTTCGTTTTCCTATTTCTTAAGTTGATGTCACTTTAATTTCAATATCTAGCATTCATTATGCCTTAGGTTCTTTTCTGTTTAGCGACCACAAATAATGGGAAATCCTCAGGTCATGGTACAGTCCAATATTTTAGGGGTGTTAAGACCGGGGGTTGTTTTCACGGTTTCTCCAAAGGCCAAGATTACATTGGGTGAGTCGACTTGAGTGTGTATTTCTAAGCGAGTTGCAGCGGCTTGTGTTCAATCTTTGTCATGAATTTCCTGGAACGACCAGCATCGGTACATGTCAAGAAGAGCAGCATTACTTTTCTGCAATATCATTGCATTTTGCCTAGTACAAGATGTTGTGGCAACAATCATGCAGTGGTGTTGTTGCTGACTGGAACCCACGACCGATGGCAGTGTGGAAAGTTGACATGTCATCTGAGCATCCCATTAAGACGGGACATGGTGTTGACAAGCATTCAGTTTTGCCAAGCAGAGCTGGGCATGTCACCAACAGCAGCTTTGGATTGGAGCAACTACTTACAGGAGGTTTGTGCCAAGACATTATTATTGAATCCTGCAGTGACTGGCGGAGAGAACACCACTGTTGTAGTTGATGAAAGTCTGTTTACAAGTTGGAAAAGTTAGGGAGTCTTTCCCCAACAGTGGGTATTTAGTGGAGTCTATCATGAAACAGGCAAGTGCTTTATTTACTGCGTTCCAGACAGAACAGCAGCGAGACTTCTCCCAATTATTAGCACAAACATCAGACCTGGCACAACAGTAGTCTCCGACCTGTGGCATGAGTACAATGATTGTAGATTGACACATCTCACTGTCAGTCACTCCATCAGTTTTGTTGACCCAATCACAGGTACGCATACACAATGCATCAAGCGCGTGTGGAGAGCAGCAAAAGAGAGAAATAAGTGACAGAATGGGATGCGTAGACATTTATCAGACTCTTACATGTGAGAGTTTATGTGGCGCAGACCTCTCCGGAGAAAGTAGAAGGGTGAACCCAAAACCAGTGACAGATGGGAGTAAGACAATCACTGAAGACAAGAAGAAAGCAGAACATTTCAATCATTATTTTGTCTCGGTTAACAGAGCAGGTAAGCTGTCAGAACTCGATAGAACACAGCTCTCTCAGTTGAAGAAACAAGAGAGAGCTCCAACAGCCAGCGACTCCCTTTTTGAAAATGAATTTAGCATGGATGAATTAGAGCAAGCCCTGAAGAAATTAAAACCCAGAAAATCTCCAGGCCCAGATAAGATCCACAACGAAATGCTGCTACATCTTGGCCGGTCTGGGAGAGAAGTAGTTCTCAGGCTTATTAATAAAACTTGGAGGCAAACTTCCAAGGCAAACTTCCAAGGGCATGGAGGAATGCATATATCGTCCCCATCCTTAAAACCAAAAAGCCTCCAGATGACCCCAAAAGCTACCGCCCGATATCCTTAACATCATGCTTGGGCAAAGTTGCAGAAAGAATGATAAACAGGCGCTTATATTGGTTCCTTGAGAGTTCTGGTGTTCTATGCCATGAACAGGCAGGCTTCAGAACCAACAGCTGCACAGAAGACCAGCTGTTCAGACTGACACAAAGAATACATGATGGCTTCCAGAATAAGAAACACACAGTGGCAGTCTTTGTCGACCTCCAGCAGGCCTATGACAGAGTATGGAGAAAAGGTCTCCTGATGAAGATGATGAGCATAGGAATACATGGCAGATTGTATAACTGGGTGAAATACTTCCTGATAGATAGAACAATCCAGACTAAGATGCACAACGCAATCTCTTCTAAAGAAGTCTTGGAGGAGGGCTTGCCACAAGGCTCATCATTGAGCTGTACACTATTCCTAATCTTTATCAATGACCTGCCAGAACAAATCAAGGCCGAAAAAAGCCTTGTACGCTGATGACCTAGCAATATGGCAGAGTCATGAAAATGTGGAAAGTGGAGCCCAAAGACTGAATGGAGACCTTAGAAGACTGCATGATTACTGCCAAAGATGGAAACTCAAGATTAACTGTGCAAAGACGGTCTACACAATCTTTACCAAAAGCCACCAAGTAGCAAGGAAGAATATTAACCTGAGGTTAGACAAACACCAAGTGATGAAAGAAGAGCATCCCACATACCTTGGCGTCACACTTGACCCGCAGCTCAGCCTCAAGAACCATATTGAAAACATCAGGAATAAGGCATTGAGGCGGTTACAGTTATTAAAGAGACTTGCAGGTACATCATGGGGATCAGACAAGGAAACTCTGAGGGGCTTATACCTAGGATATGTTCGCTCTGTGATAGAGTACAACAACTCACTGCTTACAACTTGTTCCAAAACTAACCTAGAGACTCTTGACAGAGTACAAAATAATGCCCTCCGATTAATCTGCGGAGCTATGCAGTCTACACCAACTGCTGCATGTGAAATCCATACAAATGTGGAACCCCTCGGGTTGCGGAGAGAAAAAGCCACTTTAGAAATTTATGAAAGATGCGTTAGGAAAAATCGTAACCATCCTAAAAGACATCTTGTAGAAAACTGGGAATCCAAACAAAGAATAAAGCACAAATCGGTTTTACACTGTGTTAATGAAATTCAGGACAGATACCACCTCCCAGAAAGACGTCAAGGAATTCAGAATGTTGCAAAAAACCTACCACCACATGCTCGCTTTAAAGCTCCAGAAGTCCAAACTAAATTGGTAGGCGAGGAAACCAAACAGTCCGACCCAATCGCTCTTATGAACTCATCACTAAAGACCGTTGATTCTTACCCCCAAGAATGGATACATGTCTATACTGATGAATCAGCATTTAAAGCTACCATTAAAGCAGGTTACGGAATCTACATAGGTTATGCCGATGGATCTGTTGAAGAGATTTTTGATGCATGCGGGGAATTCTGTTCAAACTATGAAGCTGAAATAATTGCACTGGAAACAGCAGTATACCACCTAAAGACTGTAATGGATTTTTACCCCTCAAAGGTCCAAAATATTGTCATCTTCACAGATTCAATGTCTGCCCTTCAAGCTCTGGAGGGCAATGAACGCTGCAGAACTGACATAGCCAAGATAATCCTGGATGCCGATCAGCTTATTACCTCATACAACATCAGAATAGTGATGCAGTGGATTCCAGGTCACTCCGGCACACCAGGTAATGACAGAGCTGACAGATTGGCAAAGAAAGGAGCAACACAAGAACAACCACCTACAGCGACAACCCTCCAGACAGCAAAAACACTGATAAGAGCTATAAACAAAGAGACCTGGTTGAACAGATGGGCCATGGGAGACACTGGAAGAGAGGTTTATAGACATATGTCTGGCCCTGATCCTAATGACAGCATTAACCATCTAACAAGAAGGGACCAGGCCACCATCTTCAGACTTAGAACGCAACATACTCCACTCAATGGACACCTAAACAGAATACAGCCACAACACTCCCCAGAATGCCAGCTATGTAACTACCCCTACGAAACTGTTGAACACCATCTCTTTGAGTGCCCAAAACTCAGTGAGACAAGAAGAACGCTACTCCCTCCGAGACCAGACAAGTGGAACACCTTGTACGGAGGAAAAGAACAGCTTGTGAAAACATGCAAATTCCACTACATGGCATTGGGCCAAAGGGCGAAAGCTCATGCGCCGCTGGATCGATAACAACAACAATTGTGCCACATTCCAACATCTCTCCAGTTCTGCTAAAAAGTTGGTTGTGTATCCTTTACAAGATGTAGCAGAACCAATCCCAGAATTTTTTTGACTGTTGTGGTTTTTCTAGGCAAATTTTACGTTCAGTAGTTTGCCATTGCCCTGAACGGTCAGCTGTCAGTACCACTGTCAAAACCAAGGCAAGACAAATCCGTCCGCAGCTGGGATCGATCCCAGCATTACGAAACGCATTCGCAATGCCTAAGCCACAGATGTCAGTTCTACTTACATGTAAAATTATTCTCATTGTCAGTTCATGAACATCTAGAATGATTGGCCCTTTTTTAGGGCCACACCCAAAGTACCCCACTTGGCAAGGCATGCTCCTGATTGCACATAGAGTTTACACACACAAACAATGCACAGCAGCAAAAAACTGCATCCTCCCGATTGCACATAGAGTTCTCATAAATGAAAAAAACGCACAGCACAAAATTGCACAGCAGATGAAATACCAATATTACAAAACTGTGCACTTAATCTACCACCCTCTTTAATAGTGGGCTGTCCAGTGACCCAGGGATTTCCCTTATTTGTAGTCACACACAAAAAAAGAACCATGCCTTAATTATAGTTAATGAGGTTGAAAATTGCAACAGTTTATGTGTGCAATTTTTGGAAACGTTTATTTGTAAATTAATTTTAGCAGTTATATGTTTGCAATACTATCACACAGAGAAATCTGAGATAGGCTGCTGTGTTTTTATACACTATAAAATAACTGACATGAAAGTAAACAAATCGGGACATTACAAAGCTTCTCTTATTAGCTTCTGTTTTGCTGTAGTCCTTGTAAACTATTATTCTTAAAATGTTGTGTTTGTTATTATTTCTCTAGCTTACTGTGGAGCTGTATGAGATTCTGCTGAATGTGGACAAAGCCAGTGAACACTTGTTTCACATGGATGCCATATGTGACTATTTGTATCCTTTTTAAATTCTGTAACAACAGAATTGGTCATATATACAACTGTGTCACAGATTCCATTCTAAATATTCAGATTTTAACTTTTCTTTTTTCCCCAAGTGAGTTGACTTGAGTACCAGGTGGTCTTTGTGTTGTTAGATACAATAATTCAAACAACCAGGGTGAGATGCTTCAGTACACATGAGGATTTGTGACACTAAAATGTGAGAATTGTCACCACTACAAAGTGAGCACTTCTACCACTAAAGAAGAGCAGGCTTTTTTTAAACCATTTAAAATGAGATTTTCCGTCACTAAAATTTTAATTTGTATGTGCTAAAAAATGAGGACTTATAACACTAATAAGTGAGGTCTTATACCACTAAAAGTGAAGGGCTAATACCACTGAGAAGTTTTGATTTATAATACTAAAATATGAGAACATATACCACTAAACTATGAGCATTTACACCATTGAAGGTAATACTTAAACACTGAAATATGGAACTTTTACTACTTAAATCCAGGGTGTCTTCATGTTAGCAGTAGTATTTTAAATCTGGGAATTAAACAGCAATAAGAGTTAAACAACTCCAGAAATTAGACAGATAAACACTGGGAAAGCTAGCCCAGTAAACAATGCCTGTGGAAGTCGAATGTGTCAGCTGAAAGGTGCAAATATAGCAGCCATGCTGTAAACGGACACAATAAAATTAAATCTCCGGGTAAAGGCAGAAGAAGAAGATGGATAAATATCAGTAAGAGTTAAACAGCTCTGGATATTAGACAGACTTCTGTTTTCAAGATGACGAGGAGCTCTATGTTATTTTTTTATGGCTGTAATTTCTTTCAGATTGTCCTTGGCATTGGCTTTCATTTGTGTGCACGTTTCCAGCGCAGTTTAGGGAAGCAAGCAGTCCTAATGGAACACCCCAACACATCTTTCCACAGATGGATGAGAAACTACACAGATGGATCAGTAAATTGATGGACGGAAGAGCAAGTGTTTATATTAAACACCCTGGCAGCCCCCACAGGACAGATTTGCTCCAACGACAAGGCAAAACTGTTAGCCCTACTGATGGCAGCACAGTATATGAACAAGCTGCAGACCCCTACAGGCAGGTGGTCTTCCTCACTGACTTACTGTCAGCCATACAGGCCCTAGATAACAAATCTATTGACCGTGTCATGCAAAGCCTAAACAAATAAACTCACTGAGCTTTTAATAAAGGTGGAAATTTACTGTAGTATCAAAGCGCTGATGCATTAGCCAAGAAAGGCAGTGCCAAGCAACAAACATACTAGCCATAGTCTTTTCCAGAAGTCAAAGTCAAAACCTTATAGAGAAATAAATCAGAAACAGAATGGAAAATAAACAATGGATATAAAAAAATATTTCCTTGAACCTTTAAAGAGAACAGACCAAGTTACCATTTTTCACTTACACACTGGACATTTCAGACTCGGCAAACACTCATATAAACCAGGAGCTAGCCAAACAGGTCTCATATAAACTAGGAGCTAGCCAAACAGGTCTCATATAAACCAGGAGCTAGCCAAACAGGTCTCATATAAACTAGGTGCTAGCCAAACAGGTCGCATATAAACTAGGTGCTAGCCAAACAGGTCTCATATAAACCAGGAGCTAGCCAAACAGGTCTCATATAAACTAGGTGCTATCCAAACAGGTCTCATATAAACTAGGTGCTAGCCAAACAGGTCTCATATAAACCAGGAGCTAGCCAAACAGGTCTCATATAAACTAGGTGCTAGCCAAACAGGTCGCATATAAACTAGGTGCTAGCCAAACAGGTCTCATATAAACCAGGAGCTAGCCAAACAGGTCGCATATAAACTAGGTGCTAGCCAAACAGGTCTCATATAAACTAGGAGCTAGCCAAACAGGTCTCATATAAACTAGCCAAACAGGTCGCATATAAACTAGGAGCTAGCCAAACAGGTCGCATATAAACTAGGTGCTAGCCAAACAGGTCTCATATAAACTAGGAGCTAGCCAAACAGGTCGCATATAAACTAGGTGCTAGCCAAACAGGTCGCATATAAACTAGGAGCTAGCCAAACAGGTCGCATATAAACTAGGTGCTAGCCAAACAGGTCTCATATAAACTAGGTGCTAGCCAAACAGGTCGCATATAAACTAGGTGCTATCCAAACAGGTCTCATATAAACTAGGAGCTAGCCAAACAGGTCTCATAAACTAGGAGCTAGCCAAACATGTCTCATATAAACTAGGAGATAGCCAAACAGGTCTCATATATACTAGGAGCTAGCCAAACAGTTCTTATATAAACTAGGTGCTAGCCAAACAGGTCTCTGCTGGTGTCTTCTTGCTGAACAAACCCCATAATACATCTTGTCACACTGTCCTCTCCTGGGAGGAGTTGTACAACATTTGGAAGAGCTGACAACTAAGCTTTGGGGGACCTGAGAGACCTTGAGCTAACATCCCAGTTTATGACCCACAGTGGATTAAATGCATGACCAGAGCACTCAACATTTTGTACAATAGCTAATGTCTGCCATAGGGTTTTTCTGAAGGGGAAGAGAGGACAGGAAAGATCAACAGTTTGTTATCATGGCAAATGTAAAAAGGACCCTTTTTTCCACACAAATCTTTTTGCCCCCTATTTGTTATTAACGATCAGCATTGAATGGGTCATGTGGTTAGTATCATATTGGCTTTGTTTACTTCGCTAAACATTTCTTGATATCTTTTTTTAATGCTGGGAGCCCAGGTCACTTTTTAAAACTTCGCCCTGATAGGATTGAAACAAATTTTCACGTCACTGGTCAACTGTGATTGTCTGTGCTACTATCATACTAAAATATATAACATATTGGACATTCACATTGAAACAAGTAGGCTGTCACAGTAAAACAAGTAAGCTGTCACATTGAAACCAGTAAGCTGTCACATTGAAACAAGTAAGCTGTCATATTGAAACCAGTAGGCTGTCACAGTGAAACAAGTAAGCTGTCGCAGTGAAAAAAGTAGGCTGTCGCAGTGAAACAATTAATCTATCACAATGAAACAAGTAATCTATCACAGTGAAACAAGTAGGCTGTCACAATGCAACAAGTAGGCTGTCACAGTGAAACAAGTAAGCTGTCACATTGAAACAAGTAAGCTGTCACAGTGAAACAAGTAGGCTGACACATTGAAACAAGTAAGCTGTCACAGTGAAACAAGTAAGCTGTCACAATGAAACAAGTAGGCTGTCACGGTGAAACAAGTAAGCTGTCACAGTGAAACAAGTAGGCTGACACATTGAAACAAGTAAGCTGTCACAGTGAAACAAGGATGTCACAGTGAAACAAGTAGGCTGACACATTGAAACAAGTAAGCTGTCACATTGAAACAAGTAAGCTGTCACATTGAAACAAGTAGGCTGACACATTGAAACAAGTAAGCTGTCACAGTGAAACAAGTAGGCTGTCACATTGAAACATGTAAGCTGTCACAGTGAAACAAGGATGTCACAGTGAAACAAGTAGGCCGACACATTGAAACAAGTAAGCTGTCACAGTGAAACAAGTAGGCTGACACATTGAAACAAGTAAGCTGTCACAGTAAAACAAGGATGTCACAGTGAAACAAGTAGGCTGTTACAGTGGTACATGTAGGCTGTCACAGGGAAACATGTAAATATAATTGATTTGAATGGGTATCTTTTTATCTTTAAGTGTTTATCTGTTCCTTTGGCATACACATCATTTTTCTTTGTCTGTGTATGTGAGCATGTATACAGAAAGTACCTTTTCCCAAAACATTGCTTATTTGCCCGTTTCATTGTTATTACCTGGCCAGTCTTTATATATATATATATATATATATATATATATATATATATATATATATATATATATATATATATATATATATATATATATATATATATATATATATATATATGAGGCACATTTTTTCAAGTCCTGATATAAAATTCAAAACAAACAAAAACCATCATTTATAAAAAGGATTTATTGCAACCAAAAGTGGAATTTACATTATTTCTCAACAAGTCACCATTGACTTCAACAGATGTTTGTTGTCGTGGCACCAGGTTCTTGATTCCAATGTCATAGAAGTCTGTGGCCAGTGTCTGGAACCATTCATTAACGCCTGTCTGCAGTTCATCATCAGTTTCAAACCACTGGGAGGCCAGCCACTTCTTTAGGCGCATGAAAAGGTGGTAATCACTTGGCGCCAGATCAGGGCAGTAGGGTGTGTGTGTGGTCAACAATTTCAAAGTGAAACTTTTGGAACAGGAGTTGAGTTGAGTTGAGTCAAGAATTGACATCACAGCACTCAGGGCATTTCCATTCAGGCTCCGTCCTCATCTTTAGCAGCCAGCAATGAGTTCCAATACTGATGGTACCGGTCACAATCTGGTTATATGTCCATCTTGCCTTTCCTCTGAGTGTAGTGAGCCAGCCAGACCCTCCAGTTACACCCAGGTTTCTCATTCTCTCCAGGCCATAATAATTTTGTTTCTCTACTGATTCCATTGCTTGTTCCCCAAAGGGTCTTGGCCTTTAGAACAATTGAAAGTTCCATCTGCAATGTGAGGTCGAACATTATTATGCAGAAGCACAATTCCAGAGGACAGCAACGCACATCGTTTGCTTAGGATGGACACAGTTTTTTTGGTTTTTTTTTAAATCCAGTGTTTTTTGTCACAATGTCGAAAGTCAGTGAACGTAAAACTTCCAAACATTTGACAGACAACGGAGAAATTGTAAATGGCGATTTTCCTGAATTTGTTGGTTTATTTCTTCGATCAGTCGTTTGTCTACATGCTCGGCCGACCGCTACGATCTTCATCATGGATACTTGTTCCCCCTTTTTCAGACATTCAACACCATTTCCTAACCATACTATCAGTCATAACATCTGGCCCATAAATCTCATTGAGTTGCCTGTGAATTTCTGCAGCATTGTTGTTTTTTGCTAACAAAATAAACAGATCACAGCACATACCTCGCAGATGGCGGGAGTATTTTATGTTACTCATTATAAATCACTCACACACAGCACCAAATAAGATTTCGACAGTGAAAAAAAATAGTAAGCAGCTAGATAATGAACCAGTAAATATACTGTATATGCACATCTACGTTTTCCGTCGGTGTTTGTCGCTGGGGTTAAAAAGTGATTTGCTTAAAAAAACGCACCTTGTATATATACAAATAAATATTTCATGACCCATCTAGTTTCATTATTGACAGTTTTTGTTAGCTTTTTAGCTATTGTATATTTTTTTTAACTATAATCATTCTGTTCAGGCTTAAACTTTCCCTATCTTAACTTGAGACAAGCTTTTGTATTAACCCTTCAGTTTTATTGATTTCAAATGGTCAGCCTTAACCATTGGTCTGCAGATATCATATCAAGTACATGTTTGTTGGTGATGGTGTCAAGAGTGATGCTGAGAAAGTCATCTGCAAGCTTCGTCCTGCTCTTAAGCTTCGACTTCGCTTTATGTCTCACCTGAACATTGATGAAACTTCGGTGGTTACCTCCACTCCAAATACACCATCCTCAAAAATGTTGTAACAGTGACGTCATCAACAATTATATAAAGCAAAAACTGCCATTGCCGACAGTCCATCATCGGTCAACATTGAATGACAAGAATTGCTGTCATTAGCAATGAAATTTTCATTTACTTAAAAATGATAGAACAAATTGAGCAGCCAGTTTGCATCATTGCCCTCTAGCTTGGTGATATCCAAGTGAAAAAATCCATTCTGAAGATTCAGAAGACTTCTGATAATAATGTCATGAGCAGCGCACAAATGAGTAAATAGTACAATCACTTCAAAGATGGCCATACTTTATTTGTGCAGAATTTTTGTGTCAACATCTGAACACTTACCGATGAGGTAAGGGTAAGCTGTGGTTAGGTGCACTGCATATTGATGAAGGATTTGAGTGCAGAAAGTGTCTGCACACTTTATGCTGAAACTGTTAACAGTGAAGCAGAAGCGACTGTCCAGAAGTTGTGCTGGACAGGGAAAAATAGTGTCACTCATAGTGTGTCATGAGTTTACAAGTATGACCCCGATGCAAGGTATAATTGTGACAATGGAAATATTCATCATCTCTCAGGCTAAACAAAGGAAAGCAGATTTACAGTTTCAAAATAATGTTGATCAAAAGTAGTACCCTGGGGCATCCGTCACCTTTGTGATGCTGTGTGATGCAAACAACTAGATCTGTAAATGATAATGTCTCATTTCCATGCCTTGGGGATTTATTGGGCAAATGAATATAGCACAGTATCTTTATAGACCAGTTGTTGCTCCAGCCAATCTTGTGCCCGTCACCTTTGTGATGCTGTGTGATGCAAACAACTAGATCTGTAAATGATAATGTCTCATTTCCATGACCTGGGGGTTTATTGGGCCTTTGAATATAGCCCAGTATCTTTATAGACCAGTTGTTGCTCCAGTCAATCTTGTGCCCGTCACCTTTGCTTCCCAGGAGTTTTCTGATATCCAGTTTAGGCTTGATTGACACAGGAGACCCAAGAAATTTCTATAAATCTGATTAATTGGAGATTTAAACTGATAACCGCTGAACACAGGCAAGCATGCTTGGTAACTTCATCAAGGCGGTGCACATGCACATTCTTTACATCTGATTAAGATTTTCTTTGCCAGAAACAATATTCCACTGGTTTATCAGACCCCATACTCTATGACCATGGATTCTTCAGAGATTTTGTTTGTTCCTTAAGCTTGAAAGGTCCACATTTTGAATCACAAGAAGACAATATACAGCACACTATGACCAAGCTGTACTTCATTCCAGAAGAGACTTTCTGAAATGCTTCCAGTAATGTCAGACAGTAGAGGGAAGTGTGTACAGTCCCAGAGTGACTTTTTTTTTAAGGGAAGTATGGTTTAAGAAATTGTATTTGTCCTGGCTGCTGGTTAGTTACCTGTTGAACATGCCTTATACAAAAGTTGCCATCATCTGTTTAGTTTCGTGTGTGTCTGTCTCTCTCCAAAAGAGTATGCTTTTGTTTTTTTTTTTTTTAATTAAATTTTAATGTAATCCAAGTAAAGACTTGCTTAATAAAATGTATCTAACAAGAATTAGAGAGTTTCTGCCAAAATAGGAACTCAGGGATATTATAGTTGCCCCTGATTCTTGACTGAGGTAGTTGATGTGACAGTCAGCTGTTTCGAATAAGGATGACAAGGTAGGAGATCCTGTGTGCATATCATGCAAGTCAAAAATCTAAAAGAGGTTAGGTGACAGTCCATAACAGAACATTTTATAACATATTTGATTGTAGTAAACATGCCTTGTTAGTTTTTATGGAGCTTGTGAACTGAGCAGTATTTCTTAGTATTTCAAAATGAGCAGAGCCAATGCACTCACAGAATAACTTATTAATATAGTAAAAATAGTTCTTGAATCTCAGCAGTAAATTAGTCATCTCTTTTGACAGTTAAAATCTGTTACTTCATTAATCATCTAGTGCCTTGCCAGTTGGCATGGACAATTGTGTTTATAATCGTCTGCAGAATGTGTCAGCTCATGAGCTGATGTCTGTTCATACCATGATGAAATACTATCTTGAATGTGTCAGCTCATGAGCTGATGTCTGTTCATACCATGATGAAATACTGTCTTGAATGTTCTTTGCTGCCTCCTCTGTTTTTCTCTTACATATTTTTCTTTAAAGATGATCTGTTTGAATAAGCTGTATATTTCTAATATAATTCTGCAGCTTTCTTAAACACTAGATGTTTTAAATACTTATGCTCACATTTTTAAATGGATTGAAGAGTACATTAATTGTATTTTTGATCATGAATTTGTGTTCAAAGATCATACTGTCTCCTTGTTCAGACAGTTGGCATTGCTCCTGTAATTATAGTGTTTGTCACTGGGAAGAGTGGGGGGAAAGGAGGGGGGGGGGGGAATAAGAAGTATTTGAGACGACAAAGGAAAATCTGAAAATAGTGATTATGGAAAAAGTGTCCAATAAACTGACAAACTCTCTGAGTTCTCTCTTTTCCTTTCACAACTTGTGCTAAAACCATTACTTGTGCAGTCCTTACATGTATGGTGTCCATGAGACCAATCTGAGGCAGGTAAGGTTGTTCTGGTTTCCCCCATGAAGTCAGCTGTTGACAGTCACCCTTGTTTGTATTGTGTTTCATTTTCAGCTACATGTTGATAAAATATATGAATGCTTGAGTCTTACTATAAATTATGAGGAACACATAAAAACATAGATAAAAAATATACTCATTGATTTTATTTTAATTATAATTGTTTCAGCCCAGGTTGAGCTTTTTTACTGGATATTTCTTCTTTGTACAGGGAGCATAAAGTGAAATAAATATCTATAAAAGATAAAGCAGGTGTGTAATTTGGGAAATACATTTTACGGTCGGCTGATGGCATAATTTTTATAGCAAGAAGTGAAATTTAATTTCAGTAACTGACACACATTTTAATTATAGAAGGTTAAAAGAAAAAACAAAAACTAATTAACATAAAACAAAGTTGAAGTCATGACTAACTACAAATCAGAGTTATGTGTATAAGATAGCACTGACACAAGTAGAGATTCCAATATCTGGGGTTAATATGTTTAGGTTTAGACGACAGATCAACATCATGGCACAGGGGCTAACCCATAAGTGCTCGGTTCTACTTCTGACTGAAGCCTGAGTCCTAAGAATCTCAGCACAGTGCATGAACTCCATAGCACCGGCAAGGATCCTGAAATACACTGCAGATTTTCAACTCCAAATTTTGCCCAGGTTTTTTTTAATGTGCCCAACAATACACACGAGTCCAATCTTACTACCTGAGACCAGGGGAAATTACTAGACATCCATGTGAAAAAATCCCAGCCTTCACTAGGGTTTGAACCCGCAACCTCCAGTATTCGAGGCAGATGCCATGCCTCGAGACCACACAGCCCCCATAGGGAGTGAATACGATTAATATGGGGGTTAAAGATAACAGCAAATACAAAATATGATATGGGTAACCTGTAGAATATTTCAAACAAAGACAGGTTTCCATCATATGAAGAACATTATGTGTAACTTACCTATCTCTCTATGAAGATTTGTTTCAATAGATCCTGCACAATGAAGCAGTTTGTTTTGGACTTGCCAGTCCTATTGATTTTTATACTCTGAAAAAAATTAAAGCAACTAAGATCCCATAGTTGAGGGCTATTCAACTGGCGGTCCTAGCAAGTGGCCCGCCGATCGTTGCCACTGAAATGTAGTATTTTTTTAAAAAGTTTTTCAATGTTTTTGTATAAATCTTCAAAAACCAGTTGTGTTGAATGTGACAGTAATGCGAAGATACAATGGAACGGGCATATGAATAGACAATACCACAACTGTGGGAATGTCTCAGGCATGGAATTGTAATTAGTTCATGGTAAAAGTTACTTCAAATAGCAGAACTCGCCTATTTGGAGCCAAAGATAATAAGATATGCTGGATAGAATCAAGTAACCACAGTAGGGAGCAGTCACTCCACTGGACAGTCAATGAAGGTGAGATATTTATTTGACAGGAGGCGTATGGAGATACGAGCCCGGTCCAGATAGTTGGTGTTTAGCTTACCAAGGAACTCTCCCTAAAAGTTTACCACCAGTACACAAAGACTAATGACAATGGATGCTGCAGATGATTAGTGACACTGGACACCACAAGTGATCTTGTTGTCAGATTATAATCAGATATTTCGTAAGCGTCTAGTGTGCAAGTCACAGACAGATGTAGACTGCCGGATACGATTGTGTAGTAACATACTGAAACAGTAACAGTGTTTTATCTAAATTTTAATAATTAAGTGAAATACTTGATGCCATGGCTGGTACTAGTAAGAAAGCTAAATGGGTGTGTGAAAATCGTATGTTCAACAATGACTGGACACTGAAATATTTATTTATATCACCAACAATGCCTAATTCGAAACCAGTGTGCTTGCTATGCAACAAATGTGTGTTGGCAGTAAAGGAGTACAACGTGAAGCGGCACTTTACAACGAAACACGCTGATTTTGGAAAATCATATCCAGAAGGTTTCACTGCTAGGAAATCAAAGGTTGAGTCACTGATTGCTACTTATCAGCATAGCAGCAGAATGTTTGTGCGAGTTTATACCCAACAAGAAAAAGCTACAGCGGCTTTTTTGCATGTTTTGTGGATATTAAAAGTAAAGGGAAAGCACTTGTTCGTTTTTGGATTATCAAAGAAGAAATAAGTTTTCTTGGAAACTATTCTCATAACAAGGCAGAAAGGTATAGGAAAGTATTACGTGACAGCGCATTTTTGCTTTTTAAACAATTTCTTTGCTCATTTGAACACACTGAACTTGCAACTGCAAGGAAGACACAAGACAATCATTGATATGGTTAAAAAACTGAACGCTTTTTGAGTTAAACTGCCTTTATTTGTAACAGATCTCCAAACAGCCAAACTTCTTCATTTCCCAAACTTGAAGGATTTTATTTCTTCAACACTGGACTCAGCAACCATAACTAATCGAATGATAGATTTATTT